TCTCAGTTCTGGTCACTTGGGCCCCCACTGTTTCTGTGAATAGGCATGTCCTTGCATTTCTTTTTGCTAGGAATCTTTCTGTGGCCCTCGGAAGCATCATGCGCTTTAACAGTTTCCAAACGATAGTTTGTAGTGCCGGTGAAAAAACTGCCAGACATACAGCCTGCACCACAGGTCATACCCTTGGCTGGGGCATACTCTAGCCACGGGTATGAGATTTCCACGCTGGCTGGAACGCACGCATCCTTTTCGTCTATTCATAGACACGCTGGCCATCTATTTCTCCTCTGCGATTTACGTTTGGGAGGTGGAGGGCGAGTGCTGTCCAAATACTTCCACATAACAACCTTGATGTTAGTAGTTATACTATTGGATAATGATGTACCTACTATTACTTCACTACTATTTGTATGACTGCTTCAAGTAACACACGCATGCGATGTGGTTGTGATGTAAATACCTCACTATGAGAGCGTACCATAACTGATTAGTTGCGTCATTCTCTACAATCAGACCGTTTGTTCTATGTCAACAGCTACTGTCAAGCGATCCATCAGTAGACTGGGTTCGTGCCCCATTGTTTAACAATGTTTGTACTACCGTAGGGTCTAGTAGCATGCTTAGAGCGTGTAGGTTACTCGTTGTACTAGCGGGTCTAACAGGGAAACTTGTTAATGGGGACGAGTTATATATATAGCTTCTTGGATCTTGGATGAGAGACGCTGCCGCCGTAAAATCGATGGGAATTGGGACGGTGAGGGACGGGGAAAATTAACTAGTCCCGCGGACTAACTGCTATGGGAATCTACTAGTCTTCTGATTTTTTACTAGTCTCGGACTACGGACTAGCGTTAGTGTCGAACCCTGGTTTTAGTAGTATCCTAGTATATTGCTCTGAGCGCGAACGCGGTGATGGGAGGTGCTCTTCATTCGTTTGCCAGTGAGTTTAGCATCAGAACACCTGCCGTCAGGTGGAGCGCTGTCGCTCTGCGGCACTTGTTTAGCATTATATTTTATTGAAACGCTTCAAGTGCCTGTGACTAGTACTAGTAGTAGTAATTTACATAAGAAATACAGGAATGAAAGAAGTGCCATGCCTTCCTTATTTGGCTACAGTATACCCTACAACCCACCCACTGTGCCAGTGGTCCATAATTGCTCTGGTTGTTTTAGGTGGCGTGGGATGTAGGCTTATATACTATACCCCTTGGCCTTGTTGAATTTGTATGTTGGTACACTTTTCTTCTATATGATTTTCGTAAGATCGTAGTTTTCGAATATTGTTCACCACATTCTATGGTAATTTACTGTAGGGGATACAAATTTTTAAGTTGTCAATTCATTCTGTTTCTGTGCTATTTCTAAACTTCCCTGGTTATCACAGGGCTATACCTGTGTGTCGCTAATTTAAATGCAATATTGATGTATAAATAGTAGTGATGTCCCGATGATCGATTATAATCGAAAATCGATCGATTATAGTCTCAAATTCTATAATCGATTATAAAAACAAATAAACAAGGAACTGTACTCATGATGTGTGAATTGATATGACAAGTAGAGCACAAGTCCTTCAAGGGCCCGTTGTCAGAAACATCGTAAAGTTAATGCTAGTGATGTCACGATCATCGATTATACTCGATCATCGGTTGAACAGTGGCTCGAACCAAGCGCTTGGTTATCAAAATCCATAATCGATTTCATCGGGAAAAAAAAAAATCCGAAAAAAAAAAATTAGAAAAAGTGATGAGAATCAGAGATATCATCGCTAGTATACAAGTTATCCTTTATTAACATACATGTATTATACACACAGTAGTAAACAGTGCAAAACAAACAGTAAACAGGGCTAAAAAAGCACATACATGCACACACGTACATGCACACGATGTTACGCACCCGCAGGCATTCACACCCCGAGTAACCGATTGTACCGACGGTTACTTGGGTCCAACGATGATCGATTACGAAATTACACCGATTGACAAACACTAGTTAATGCTAATGTTAATGCTACGATAACACTTACGACTAATGTTAATGCTACGAGAGTCTCCGTATTGTTTGTTACATTGTGTTGGAGAGGATATTCCATTGGCAGGACATATATTAACTCGGCTACACAGCCTACACTATTAGAACACAAACAACTTACTTACTATATATAAGAACAAGTCTTGATCATGTTTGTTTAAAACTTTTAATGTTTTAATAAAGCATATAAACCATTTCTTTTTAAATTGATTAAATACTGTATAGGAACAGACATTGATATACATACGCAACCTTCACAGAGATAATACATGATCATAAAACATGATAATATTGAATGCTATGTATAATTGTATATACAAAGTAAGATTAAATTAAATCGATCCTATTATTAACCGATTATCCGATTATAATCGATTATGGATCAGTTAAGGGAAACGATAACGATTATTAAATTCCAGCCGATTCCCATCACTAATAATAGTGTATGGGTCAGGTTAAAAGACTTATTCCTTTCCATGTTCCTAAGCATATTTAGCAGGCTTTTAGTGCATGTCGGGTCCAACATGCTTTCAAGGGGAAGCTTAGTTGTGACATCCTATAAGAGGTCCGACATGCTTTAATTTTAAGCTGTGTTTACCTTTGACAATCCCAACACAGTGATACTAGTCTTTTCACAGCTTGATGTGTCAGCTCTTGAACAGACCGAGATTACCTTTCTATTGAGACTGCATTATGGCATGAATAGTTGATTCAATTAGCAATGAGGGATAATAGTAGCCTTGTTGCCTGACATGTCTTCTGAATTCTCGGGAGAACCTTATTTAGAATGTTTTGTGACAATCACTTGGTTGCAGATTTGCTGAACAGGCTACACACGATGATGGTTCGGCTGGCAGTCATACAGCCGATAATGACATCCGTAATCGTAGAAATAGATCAGGTTCACGCAACAGATCAAAGGCTGCTAATCATGGCTCACATTCGGACGCACGAGGAGAATCCTATACACAGGAACAACTACATACTGTTAAAAGGTGTTTGTGTGTTAAATGTTTGTGTGCTTGTATTCAGATGTCAGGGTGTCGAATGGACGAATATAAAGTAATTATACGTCTGCTTGGTATACTGTAAGTAATATGAAGATAATGCTGTCTGCTAGAGTTTTATGTTTGTTAAGTAATATTTTGCTTTCAGAATAAGGAAATGTAAAGATTATTATGAAATTCTTGGCTTATCAAAGACTGTAGCGATGCAGACTTAAAGAAGGCATTATAGAAAGTTGGCCTCTGCAAAACCATCCAGATAGAACAAAGCACCTGGAGGCAACAGAAGCATTTTAAGGTATTTCAAAGCTTGCTACATTAATGGTTGGTGTATGTGAATGTTGACTATGCGTAGGAGCTTACAGCTCAAACTTTTAGTAGCTCGTAGTATTTAAATTCTCTTGTTAACCTGCGCATTTGTTTATACTCCATCCAGTTCTTTCTGTTGAGTACTCTGATAGTAATTATTGATTTTCAGCAATAGGAAATGCATTGTCTGTGATCAGTGATCCAGAGAGCGCAGGCGCTATGATTTGTATGGTGCAGAGGATAATGTAGCCACGACTAGGTCGGCGAACCACAGTAGGCATCCAGAATATGAATTTGACTTCAGCAGGGGGTTTGCCGAGGTCTTTGAATCTTTTATAGTTTTTTTGTGCATGCCAATTTGCATTTCTACCTAACAGTCAATATTAATGGTTTCTGTCCACATATAAGTGTACGCATATATACCATCAGTCCCATATAATATTTGATATCCCAGTAAACTGCAATATTTTTCAAACCATGCTTTTAATATTTCATACAATTGTTCGGTCACGCAAAGTGCAGTAATAGCAAACACTAACCAGAAGCATGTTATTAACAGTGATATTAATTCATACATATATTATCAGAAATATGGGTTTCATTCACTTTGTTGTTCTTCAATCTGGTTCATCTC